CAATGAATCAATCGTCCATTTAAATCCTACTTCTTCATAGTCAACTCGGGGAAGTCTTGGGTAGAGGCGCTTTTGGGTGCGTCTTCCGAGCATTAAATTGGTTTACTGGTGAAACAGTAGCCGTGAAACAAGTGAGGCATTGCTTTTTCCAATACAAATTATTATTCTTACCGAAAGAGAACTACTGATTTTTAACCTATCGTATTACCATAATTGCCTTAGGTTGGGCTCAGTAATATTCCTCGTTCAGAGCTACCCGAGATCATGGTCTGTAACTAGCTACCAAAACCTACTTTATCCCCCCCCCCCCTTCCAGGAGCCAAGAACACGGTTTCTGTGACAAAAGTAACTCTAATTTGTTGGCTTGACTTTTTTGTATATCTACATGCTTGCACATACTCGGGTCCCATAGTCCGAAATTGATTTGCTGAAGAATTTGGATCGTAAGTTCCCCATCTTTTTCTTTCTTGGTGATCGATTATGTGTAGTCATCATCTTGTATAATAACATCTGAGTCTGACCCATCAATTTTGTCTAATCTTTCTACAGATCCAAATATTGTGCAATATCGTGGTTTCGTCAAAACATCAGATTACCTTTACATCATCTTGGAATATTGTGAAAATGGATCGCTACATACGATTTGCAAAAAGTTTGGAAAATTTCCAGAATCTCTCGTGGCAGTTTACATCTGTCAAGTTCTCGAAGGACTACTCTATCTACACGAACAAGGTGTCATCCATCGGGATATCAAAGGTTCCAATATTCTAGCAACCAAGGAGGGCGGTGTCAAACTGGCTGATTTCGGCGTGGCTACTCGCACTGGTGGATTATCGGATAACGCCGTGGTGGGTTCCCCGTATTGGATGGCACCTGAAGTCGTCGATCAATCCGGCGCCACTACCGCCTCCGACATCTGGTCTGTGGGATGTGTAGTCATTGAACTTCTCGAAGGTAAACCGCCTTACTACTTCTTGGACCCCATGCCGGCCTTGTTCAGGATCGTGAATGACGACTGTCCTCCTTTGCCTGAATCCGCCTCACCGATCGCAAGAGATTTCCTCCTACAATGCTTTCAAAAAGACCAAAACTTGAGGATCAGTGCCAAGAAATTATTGAAACATCCTTGGATGCTATCCGCCAAGAAACGTCTCGAACAGAAGGAACGAGAGCAGGCTCTCGCCCAGGGCCGGCGGACGCCTGGAGGGCACTATAATCAGAATGGTCGTGGAAATTCATCTCATCAAGATTCATCTCAAGATAACATTTCAAAAACCGGTTATGATGAAACCGTTCAACGGGTTCAAGATTGGAACAAAGCCTTAGAGAGTCCCACTGCAATTCATCCAAAACCTCAGCACGAGCCTGTACATTCACCACTCCAGTCACTCGCCCATCTCGCCACGACTTCTCCCAATCAAATCCCTTCTGTCACCCATCGGCCGAATGAAGATCTACAGTCACTGCGTCCTAAAACCGTCAATCGAACTCTGTTCAATAACGTCGGTTCCATCGGCCCATCAAAAGTAGGACCGGTCGCCTTAAGTCAATATCAGGACGAGGCAACATCTCTAAAAAATTCCACTATTCGTGGTCTGGCTGGGGTTAATGTCAGCCGCCCAGCCACGAACTCTGCCCTACCTCTATCTTCCAGTGCTCTTCCTTTGGCTGTCATTAGCACCACCCCACCCGCACGAAAACTAGCAGAAATGGGAATCGAAAGTCCCCAAGGCGATAATTGGGATGACGACTTCGAGGGTGGGATATCCACATCGAAAATCGCGGCCTTGGACGAAGCGCATGCCAACAGCGGATCTTCTGAAAGTGAAGAAGATGACGATGATGATGACAGTGACGAATCTTCGCAGACACGTCGATTGACTAATCGAGATGATAACACTGCGACCATCAAGCCAAGTGGGACTGGAATCAAGCCCGCTAATCTCTCGAAATCCTTGCAACAAGCTTCTGGTCTGGGCGCTATTGTTGAAGATTATTCAGACCTCGTAGGTGACGATCAAAGAGACCCGTTCGAAGGTAAAGTTGCCAGTCTAAAGGTTCGTCAATTCCTTCATTGGATGATTTTTTATCGATTTGAACAATACATACATTTATTGATCATCATCCGATTTTTCGAAAATCCCTAGGTCTTAAACCAACATCAAAAGATTTTACATCCGAAGGATATTAGTTTACCTAGTTCAACAATCACTGAGGCCAACCAAGGCATCAAATCACGACTTGCGACGGTCGTTCGATCGGATTCTCCCGGTGGAACACATCGCTCCGAGTCTCCCGTACCTACATTCAATCGATCCCAAGGCTCTGCAACAACAACTTCCTCCTCCTCTTCATCATCATCTTCTTCTGGATTAAGTCGGGTCAACAGTGCTCTCTCTGGTCCTCCCCCTCCCCCTCAATCCCATCCGATCGGCGATCCTGCTAATCTGAATCGGTTCACCGAACAAGCCGGCGAAGATTACTCGGATCTGTTCGGCAAAACTCTTCCTCCTAATGAGGACGATCGGGAGTTCCCTTCGTCTTCTGAAACTTTGAAACTACAGACAAGACTTTCTAATATGTCTAGTAAATCTTGGGTCAGTCTTTTTCACCCCCTTGTTTTTGATCAACTGAATTGATTTTTTTTTTGGGGGGGGGATGTCAATTGAGTAGCTTGGAGATGAAGATAGTGATGAAGTCGACCCGTTCGCTGAAGTTGATGAAGAAAATTTAACCGAAGAAGCGACGCTTGAAGCAAATATAGCCCGGGATAGATTGGCGAGATTATCGACTTTGGTGACCGAGATCGTGGACCAAATGACCCCGGATATCGATGAAGTGTCTCTGAAAGATGGTTGCATGCAATTGGTCAGACACATTTCCCATCATCATCTTCATCCTCGCATCTTTTTCTTACCTTTTTTTTATGTTTTGTAGATTGGTTTGTTTGAAGATACGCCGGAAATTCGGACACATTTCGTTCGCTCTCATGGCATGCTCGCCGTTATCGAACTCTTACAACAGTTCCAAAGGTCTCGGGACTTGGTTAGCTTGTTACTCAGAACCATTAATCTGGTGAGTCTTCCTGCTTCGTAGGCAAAACTTCTTTGTGAACAGAAATATTGAGGGACCGGCTCATTTCTCAATTTACATATTATTTTAGATAATCAATGATGATCCCGAATCCTTAGAGAAAATCTGCGTTCGTCATCCATTTTTCTACTTTGGCCTTTGTTGGTATCGCTTTAATAGGCTAATCATACACTTTCTTGTTTCTTGAAACAGTATAATGGTGGTTGCCCGGTCGTCATGGGATTTGCATCCAATAAATATGCCCGAGAGATCCGGTTGGAAGCGGCTTTGTTCATCGGCTCCATGTGTCAGACATCGCTACTCACTGTTTGCCCCATCGCTTTTTTATTTCTTTTTCCTTTTTTCTCAATAACTTTCTTTTCGATCCAGTTTTCTTGAGGTAAATACTTGTAGCATGGACTGACTTGGAAACTACTTTTTTTTCTTGTTTGGGTTGTTACAGTTGCAAATGTTTATTAGTTGTAGAGGGTTGAAAGTGTTGGTTGAAATGATGGATGAGAATTACGATGAGCAGAAGGACTTGGTATGGATGGCAGTAGATGGGATATGCCGGGTATTTGAATTACAGGTGAGTTGATCTGCCACAAGCAATCATCCTCGCAAGCTTGATTGAGATTCTGAGCGGCGATCATCGTCTTGCTTGACAGGGACCTACACCTCGGAACGATTTCTGTCGGATGTTTGCCCACGAGGGTCTGCTCGAACCGCTGTCCGAAGCCTTGCTTCATGTTTCACATGATGACGATGACCTCGCTGAAAACGCTAAAGGCCGGATCGTTCATATCTTCCTTTTGTTCTCTCAAGCTGATATGAAAGTCAAAGAAATCATGTTGACCCGTGCAATCATCCTGCGTAAATTGATCATTCTTTCAAGAAAAAAAAAACAATTTTCGTTTTTTTTTGGAACAGACGCACTAATTACAGTCAATCTCATCTTACTTCAATTTAATTAGGTCTGATTCGGTCTTTGTCGATCTTGGAGAACGAGTTGTTGGCTACGATGCTTAAAACTCTCAAGAATTTGACAATGCTTCCAGTTGGATTACAAGTCTTACAGAATGCGAATGCGATCGAGACATTGACGAAGGTGCTCAAAGAACAAATCGAGCGAGATCCGGATACCCCATTGACGACGGTGAGTGAAGATTTCTCTGGTACGAGTAATGTGTTTCTCTTGTTGATGAACCTGAATATGGTTTTTTTTGAAGGAAATTGCGAATCATGTGGTGAATGCGTTGTACAATTTATGTCGACTGAGCAAGCCACGACAAGAAGAAGCTGCGCTTGCAGGCGCCATTCCGATCCTCCAACGGGTCGTCAAGAGTAGCTCTCCACTCAAACAATTCGCTCTGCCGATCTTGTGCGACTTCGCACATACTAGTAAGACCTGTCGCAAGTTGTTGTGGCAGAAAGACGGATTCGCATTCTATCTGGGCTTGTTGAGGGATCCTTTTTGGGGTATCACTGCGTTGGAGTCTATCTTGGCTTGGTTGGTCTCTGCTCGTCTTCTTGATTATATTCATTCTGGTTTATCGATAAACCCCCCCCCGTCTAATTTCTTCGGATGTTTTCCGCTTTGTTAGGCTTTCTGATGAAACTGCTCGTGTGGAGGATGCTCTCACTGAGCCGTCTTCAATCGAAGCTCTCCTGCGGATGTTCACCAAGGCTAAGGCAACGACGTTTGAAAATCTACTTGATCCCCTATTGAAAGTAAATCATCATCTCATCTATGAAGAAACTGGTTGCTTCGAGATCTAATTTCCTTTTGAATTTTCTCTCTCTTTTCTTTTTTCTTTCCAGTTATTCCGAATTTCACCAGCGGTTGGAACGTCATTGATCAGTCAACCGGCGTTTGCACGGCGGTTGGTTGACCGCTTACTAGGACACAACAAGGCGGTTGTCCGGTTGAATCTGTTACGACTGACGAAGGCCGTGTTCGAGACGGCGGTGGAGAAGAGTTCAGTGGTGAGGATGTCAGGGCTAGCGGCGGCGATCAACAAGATGGCCGACTCGGAGTCGGCGATCCTGGTGCGAGAGTTAGCCAAGGAACTGAACCGCGAGTTCTGCACGATCAGCAGTAGTCCGTCCAACTCCACCAAGGGCATCAAGAAGCCCGTCCGCCAGACCACCCCTCATGCCGGCCCTCGTGCCTCCGCCCCCAACACTCTGAGCCTTCCCTCCGATGACCATCCCAATCCTCCTCCTCCTCACAGAAAAAGTGGCTCTACTAACGAGCACGCAGGTAATAGACTCTCCAGTGCTCGCTCGCTGTCTAGGGACACTCTCAACCAAATGGCCCGCTCATCCTCTTCTTCTTCCTCGGCCTCGTGTCCTGCCGAAACCCACACTTCATCATCATCCTCTCCATCCACCACTACTGCTCTCCCAATCAACATCAACTCTCATTCCTCGGTTCATTCTAATCCTAATAATACTAGTAATGGTCATGGGAATGGTAGTCCGAATCAGAACGGTCACGCCGCTGGACCCCGGTTCTCGCTCGATCGCGTCCTCGCTTCTCGGCCTTCTTTCATGCTCAATTCTTCGCGTCGATCTTCCAATACTCCTCCTCCCTCTTAATCTCTCTTCCTCTTTCATTTACTCTTTCTCTTTTTTTTTTGGATGTATCTTTTTGATTTTTTTCTATCAATTCAATTGTATTACAACTACACTAACTAACTATCCAAAGAATACGTAAATGGGTTGTGAAGACTTAAGACATTCTCTTTTTGTTTGTTTTTATTATCCTGTCTTTTTTTTTTCTTCTTCTCTTTTGTACTCTCACATTAACATACACATACACATTAACATACACATACAGCACTGCCTTTTCTGTGTCTCATATGACCTTTTTTTGGCTTGGTCAAATTTTAATATATATTTTTGGTTTTGATTAGTTTTGCATACTTATGTCAACAAAAAAAAGCAATGGAAGGAGAGGGGAGGGATTCATATGATGTACAGTCTCCTCCCAGATCTTTATAGCCATCTGCTTTGAGCTCCACACCAGGAACCCAAAAACATCAAGTCACAAGATTTTGTGGAATGGTGGAAAATGGGTTTCAAAGAATGAATATGAAAAAAAAAAAAATAATAGTAGAACACAAGATTTTCAAATTTGTCAAAATGCTTCAAGAAAATCAACTTTTTTTTTTTTTTGAAAACTGTAATTTTTTGTTTGAGTGAAAAGTGAACACAAAGAGGGCAAATTTGGAACATGAAAAGAATGATTATAAATGAAAAAATATTGATCCCAAAATTAAGTTTTGAGCATGGTATTGGTAGGTGGACACCCTGCAGTCAAAATTAGTAGATTGCTGTACCAGAATGCCAGATTTCTTGATGAATGACCTCCTAGGCACGCTTTTTAAACCACCAAGTAGTCATTTTTTTTTCCCCCAAATTTTCACTTCTTATTATTCATTCCAGATCTCATACTCTCACTTTGGAGATTTCATCTTTTTCCTGAAAGAAATATTAATAGAGCTGTCAGTTTATGTGATCATTTTCTCCATTTTAGTTTTCATAAATTTTATAATCTTGTTGATCATTATTATTATTATTTTCATATTCATTCTTTGGGACCCATTTTCCACTATTCCACCAACTGTTGTGACTTGAAATTTTTGGGTTCTCGGTGTGGAGCTCAAAACAGATGGCTATAAACATCTGGGAGGAGACTGTACATACAAAGGTTTGAAAAAATGGGTTGAGAAGATTGTTACAGAGAGAGAGAAAATGTCAAGAAATTTTGACTACATGCTTGAGACAGGTGACACTCAAGCAAACACATACATAGGAACACAAAACTGGTGGTTTACTAGTCTTGATTGATTCACTGACATGAAGCATGAATTGTATCCTTCATCTTTGAAACCATCAGCATTATCATAGGGGGTGGAATACAAGATTAATTCATCATTCTCCAATTTTTTCCTTTTCACTTGTTTGTCACATTACATAGCGCCTCACTTTTAGAAGTTCAATCAAAAACAAAGAATCAAAAAATTGGCAGACTTGTATATATTTGTACTTGGCCATTTTTGTAAGATTTCTATTATCCTGATATCATGTTTGAATCATGGACTGCATTGAGTTTGCAGATTTATCTACCTTGTAAGCTACATAGACAGATGGGGGGGGGGGATGTGGCATCAGCTGTGAAACACCCAAAAAACATTTCCCTCAATCACACAATTATGTAAGCAGTTGTTTTGGGTTGTTACAATTTTTCAATCTGACTGTGCTTAATCAAATTCAAACTCAACTTGTCATTCAACTCTTCCCCCTAGACCTTTCTGCAATTATTTTTTTTTATTCAAAAACTTCGAACATGAAAGATTTGTGGAAAGCTGGGCTGATAGTGGCCAGGCTTCACATCTCCTTCCTTCGGGCTATCAAGCCAGGGCTTGACCTCTTTCCTGACCTGGATCCCAGCTTGATGGATGAACAAGGTATGATATAATCATGCTCCTGTGTTTTGTGTTTATCCCTTTCACTTTCATGTTAAACCTCACTGATTTTTGCTTGGTTACATGTGTGCAGGACAAGAGTCACACTCTTTGCTCACCATCAATGGAAAAAATGAACCTTTTAAAACTTTAATGCTTTTTGGTTAGTGCCCACTGCTTTTCTTTTTCTACTGGCAGGTTAAGAAATACACAACACATGAAAATTCTGATAGGCTTATTTGTGAATGATCAGATAGGTCTGGGCGAGTAGAAGCAGGGACTGGAAACAAATATCGGCCATCACCCTTGGCACTAGTGGATCAGATCAAAGATGAAGATCCTATTTATAAACCTGCTTCAAAAAAGAAAAAACTGGATCTTAATTTGTCTTTGGGTCTTCCTGTTTGGGATTGGGTACATGGAGATTCTTCAAACTTCCAGCCAGGATCATCAAGCTCTCAACCCCAAAAATTGCTCCCCAATGGTAAGTCCATCCCCTTGAAATTTTCATTTTTTTGTTATTGTAAGCACAACCTATAAAAATTAGGAAGACACAGGGCCTTCTTTGACATATTCCAAGTATTTTTTAGAAATACCCAGAGAGGTGAAAAGTGACATCCCTTCTAGCAAAACTAGATGGATGGGATTAAAAATTAATGAAGAAATTGGAAGTTTTTCACACAGTGGCAACACAAACAATCTCCCAATTGATTCCCAGAATAGCAAACAACGTGTTTATTCCCAGAAAAATGATCTGGCAGTTCCAAAAATTACACAAGATGGGTCCAGGGATGCTAATAGAAATACCCATCCGACCCAGACCAGAAGCAATATCAATGCCCTTCCAATATCAGACTTCAATCCTCAGGCAAAACCCAAATTGTGGGCCTGGATTTCAAGCATTTTGCTTCACTGTGAAGGATCAATAGTTGATGAGTTGAAAGCAAACATACCCAAAGAAATGAAAAATGTAATGGTTGCATACCTTTACCCTAATTTTCCAAAAGGCAAAAAAACATATGAGCAGGTGTGTGAATATTATGATCTCAAAATCAGATTTAGGGAAATTGCTATGATCTTGTGGACGGCAAATTCCCAAATCATCAATCTTTTTGCAAGCACACAATCAAGAGGTAATAATAATTATCTTGCTGAACAAAAAGAACTTCAGGATTGGTTTTTAAAGTTCTTGAAGAGATGCAAGAAAAACAAGAATATCTGTGATCCAAATCACAGGTGGTTTGAGACTGAAGACGGAAATGTTTATCAGAAAATTACTCGGGCAGTTTATGCAAATGCAGAAATTGATGCCTACAAAGTATACCAGAAGGTGCTTACTGAAAAACCCACTGTGGTATCAACCCCAAAACTATTGATCACTGAAGCTGCTGTCAGTCTTCTTGTTATCTATCACAAAACAATCAAAAAAGATAAATTGGAAGGTGTTTCTTTGTCTAATGTCATTTCCATGTATCAAGTTTCCAACATTGCACCCATAGATAAACACAAATTAGATCAACTATTCAAACATTTAAATGATGAGTATCTAAGCAGAGTCATTCAGCTTCTGATCCCATTCAACAAATTCCCACTTTCAGAACTTTTAAATTTAGAAAAGATTCTTTCTAATAACAACAATCATGATGGATATTTTCAGATTGAAAGTTATGTGAGACCAATATTCCAAGTAAAAAGCATGGCTGAAATTCCAAAAATCAAGATTGCCAAGGACTTTGATAGTCAGAACACTGAAGAAGAAGGATGGGCATGGATATCAAGAGTCAAATTCAATAAAAAAAAGTCATTCAAAAAGCTGTTCCAGCCATTATCAGACACAATAATCAATGATTTTAAAACTCACCTTCTACGTTTCTGTGAGAAGAATTCATCACAACAAATGAGACTGAGAATTCAACAAACAACCAAGGAGAGGATATTTAAACTGTTGGATCAAATTTTTGATATTATTTGGGGATTGAATGAAAAAATTCTGCAGCAATTTTGTTGTGAATCCAATGACAAAGATTACATTCATGAGCAAAAATCAGTTCAAATGTTTTTCTTATCTTTCTTTTCTGAATTTGTGGGAACAAAATTAAAAGGTTTAGAGAATGATGGTCAACAAAAAATGTTTAATGTAAACATGATGAATGAAAGAATTTTCAAGTTGATTTTGAATGTCTTCACTTTGGAAAAAAACAACAACAGATTTAAAGTTAAACCTACAGATGGGTATTCTGATCAATTAATTATCCAACAAGAGGATTTGATTATTGGTGAAATTGTAGCAACTGTATTGGGCTCTTATTACAAGAACCAGAATTATGAGAAGTACATGATCATTTTTGGGATGGATCCATGGTTTTATAAATTTCTGATAACAAAGAGCTCATCATTATACTACAGCTCATTCGATTACACCACAGATCAGTTCCAAATCTTCAAAGATTATCAAAATATTCCTTGGAAGAATAAAATCAACATAAATGTGCATCAGATACGCTATAAGCTTGGGTCTCATACTCAACAAGACCTTACAAAATTGGTAACACCAATAGGGAAAGATTATTGAAATGAATAATGCACCATTTCAAGTGATATTAAAACAAATAAACAATTTACTCAGAGATTTTGAGGTGTAGAGGAAACTTTGTTATTCTTTTTGGCAATACTTTTTTTTCAAATTCATCTTCCAGAAATATGCAAAAACTAGAGTCCAAGGTGCCTATGCCACTTTACATGGAGGGTTTCAATGGTAGCCCACAATCCCAAGAAATTTCAATTTTGTTGGTTATCCCTTCCAGGTGTCTGTTAAGTCATGCTGCCTGTTGCCCAATCAAAACACAATAAGATCAATGCTCTTCCAATCACTTTCAGGAGAAACTAACCTCAGCCTACATTTAGCACAAGTTAGATTTAATTTAGTAGCCCAATCAAATACTACTTTTGATGTTGATCTCCCGAGAAGTTTTTTCCAATGTACCAACAGTTGAAAGCTGCTAAGATGAATGTATCTGAGCAGCCCAGTGCTGCTAGTGCCCAAATTATAGTAGTTGTAGAGGATTGAAAGCTTTTGGTAAAAAAGTCCAATATGGATGGCAGCAGATGAGATTGTTGCTAGCTTAAAAAATCCCCTCTTTCTGGTAGGTTATAGAGATGGTCGCATTGAATCCTGATATCCGCGCGGATGCGGATATCCGCTCACGTTTTCAGCGGAAACCCACATCCGCATCCGCTGGCGGATACCCGCCAGTGTTGGCGGGTATCCGCGGATTCCCGCCCTCTGAATGGGCGGCGAGGCAGCCGGCTCTTCCAGGACATTGTTTTTTTTTAAAAAAAAAACCCCCGGCCCCCTCGGCCTAAAGGGGCAGAGGCCACACCGTCGGGAGGAACCCCTCCCGGCAAGCGTCTACAGGCCAGCTTGCTGGGAGCGGTTTCTCCCAGCAAGCGTCTACAAGCCAGCTCGTCGGAAGGAACCCCTCCCGGCGAGCTGGTTCTTAAACCAGCTCGTCGGAAGGACCCCCTCCCAGCGAGCTGGTTTTTAAACCAGCTCGTCGGAAGGACCCCTCCGGCGAGCTGGTACACATCCAGCTCGCAGGAGGAACCCCTCCCGACAAGCTGGTACACAGACCAGCTTGTCGGGAGGAGCCCCTCCCAACAAGCTGGTTTAAAAACCAGCTTGTCGGGAGGAGCCACTCCCAACAAGCTGGTTTAAAAACCAGCTCGCCGGGAGGGATTCCTCCTGGCGGTGTGGCCTCTTGGCACCGGGTATCCCAAGGGATACCCGGATACCCGCCAGTATTTCAGGGGTAAGGGTGCATCCGCACCCAAATCCGCACCCGCTGGCGGGTATCCGCCAGCGGATAGCGGATATCCGCAGCGGATATCCATCGTCCATCTCTAGTAGGTTATCTGGTGGAAAATCTACTTCACCCGCAGGGAGGGACTTACAACTCAAGTCTACCTGCTTGTCAGAGGTGATCTGAGAAAAACAACACTCAACTTACACAGCCTATAGATAAATGTTTTTTTGAGCTACATATGTCTTTCTGGGGAAGCCAAGATGTGCTTGCATCTTCTGTATATTTTCCTCAACTAGTTTTTTCTAGAATTGTTATCTACCAAAAAATTGAACCCAAAAGAGTGAAATTGAAATCTGGCTGTTGCATGAAGATCATGAGCTGCACAGGCTGAGATTGGAGGAAGCTGAGCTAAAGTTGAAAATAGTTTAAAAATAATTTGTGGGGTAAACAATTTAGGTTTTGAGCTCTTTTGAGCTTTAAAAATCAACTGATTGAAGTCTATCCTACAATTTACAGCTGTGTTGAAACTACAGTCTGTAGAATTGAAAGACTTGATTTCAAATCTTGTTGGTGGATGGTCTCAGGCAAACACACCTGCTGTAAGCATAAGTCCCCCCCTGCAGGAGGGGTGGCCTTTCCAGCATCTAAACTCAAGCACCACCCAAAACCAACCTCCCACACAGGTAGGAATTTTTCAGTTTATAGATCTTTGAGCTCAAGTTAAAACCTTCTGAATTTCACCTATGCAGCTAAAAGTGTCTGCTCTTAGAAAGTTTTCACTGCATAGCTTTATGTTGAAGAAATTACAAATGAATTGCTGAAAAACCAAAACCAGACTGAGAAAGAAATAGAAATCAGACATGAAGAAAAGATAACAATCAGACAAGAAAAAAAAGAAGAAGGAGACAAAGTCGTACCACTAGCGAGATGACAGATTGAAGAAGAGTTGAGGACTTGGATGAGGAAGAAGCGAAGCGATAGAATTTAAGCGGAATGAACTGAGCAAGAAGAAAAAAAGGAAAGACAAGAAATCAACATCGCCAATTAGTTCTTTTCTCATCAAACAACAAACAAAGGGAACAGAGAGAAAGAGAGATTGAGACAACAGAGGAAGACAGAAGAGAAATAGATTCAACGAACAGTACGTTGCAAAACGCAGAGTAAATGATGATAGAGAACCAGAGTCCTGTCTTGACAGTTCTAGATTCAGACTTGAAGGAAGAGATATTGCGGAGTCAGATTTGAGTGAGGTGAAGTTGAGTATTGGACGACTTTACTTTATAGCTTGAAGCGGATAAGTTTCAATCTTGAGCGGTCGTATTTGTTCTTGACCTTTGAAAAAGATGATAATGAACCGCAATTCTTGACGAGGTTAAGGATTATCATAAGCAAGAAAGGTGAACTTTTAACAGTCAGAGAATTCTAGCCCTAAGCGGTTGAGGATGTTATTCTCATCATGTTGCTGCGGCAAGGTCAAGGAGCAAGCAGAAGTTTTTGAAAACTCAACAGAGTAAATGGGGATTATTAATAGGGGCTTGGAAAAGCGACTCCCAAATTTTAGCCGCCAACTCCCAAATACGGTTGTTGGATGTTGATTGGGAGCCAATTTTCCAAATGGATGGCTGAATTTGGGAGTCAGCCATCCAATTAATTTTTTTTTTAATATTTGTTTTGTACTTTTGGGAGTCGGCTCCCCAAACCACCCCTCAT